GTGTTTCCATTTAAGTTGGCTTTTATAGCTATGGTGGTTTTGTGTAGTCCTAAAACACAATACAAAGAAATTGTGTAAAAAGATATAAAATGCCCAGTTTACATTTACATTTATTAACCCACTAAGCAAAAAGGATAAAAATAAAAATACATAATATACTTGAAGCTTTAAGAGTGGAAGAGTACACAAACCTACATTGATTAGCTGAGTTAATTTACAAACTGTGAGCTGCCCCTGTTACTCGGAAAATGTGCAATAAACAGGAAGCAAATGTTTAGAACAGATTATTTGCCACTGCATACATTAATCTGCAATGCTAATGATAAACACAGGGTAGTATAGTTAAAAGCCCAAATATTTCCTCTCACACCTATAAAAAACAAGAAAAGCACGAGATACAATCTAGGAACCACTTACATTGGCCATGAACGCGCATCTCAAAACTATAAAGTCTGAAACTACCAACACCTAGGTATTTGCATTATTTTTTTCACCAATAGGTGGCGCCTCGGAACCATATGACACTACAGAAATGGAACCTGGGAATTCCTACAGTGTTAAATCAAATGCTGATAAACTGAGATCTGGTGGGGGAATCTGTTGACTTGGCAGTAATCATAACTTGTGACTAAATTTTGTGACTCAGATTTGTCACAAGCCATTGGACATATTTGAAGTTTCTGCCTTCCTTCCCAAGACGTTGCATGTAAAACTAACCCAGTGGGCCATGGTGAAGGCACAGTCATGCTGTGGTAGTGCTTTTTCTCAAGGGATGGGGAAGCTGTTAAGAAGTCATGGAGAAATGGATGGAGAATAAAAAAATAATACTGATAGAAAGTCTGATGGAAGCTGGAAAAAGGCAGTTGGTGCTAAGATTCAGCTATGGTATGCATACATACATACCTCTAAACCATATATGCAAGCATATATGGTTTAGAAGATGGAAGCATATCCACATGTTGTCCCAGTCAAAACTGAAATCTGAGGGAATCTACGGCAAGGCTTCGACATTGATGTTCACAAAGGTTTTCTAACAAACAGTCTGCAACAAAAGGTGATTCCACAATGTAGTGTGGCACACATTTCAGATTTTAGATGTATTCGTTTCCTTTCTCCTCACAGCACTACATAATTTATATTGGTCAGTAAAAAAAGTACGAGCAAAATACATACTAGTGCATAGTGTACATTAGGATACATTGAACAAACCTCAATATTGTAATAAGGGTATTGAACCACAAGATGGCACCAGATGCATATTCATAGCGTACAGTGGCGCTTGTGATTCAAGTAGGGTAACGTATGTATTAAAATCACCTTATGCATGAATTTTTATAATTCATTTGTATACAAGGAGGTTTTGGTTTCTAAGCACAAAGTTGCACTATTTTCCTTTTTATTTGCCTTTATTGAGATTTATTATATTATACGCCTAAGTGCTGATCTAATGCCAGTTTAAAAATCATCACGGCTGAAAAAATAATGGGAACCATAAAATACTTTATTTATTATACACGATTTTTTAAATTTTTATTTCCATCCATCTTGGCCTACTGTGGCCTTTCAAATGTCGAAGAAGCTTTGACTGTCGGGTTTACCTTTCTAAAAAACATATGACAAAATTCAACCAAATATTGTGCTATATTTTTCAGTTTGTCGGATGTTTTTATTCATAAAGGTAGCGCAACTATATTTTCGATGGAAAACGCAACCTCAAATCTAAAATGTTAAAAGCAAATTGGTTAATCCAGCTTAGTTCCAATGAATGCTTGAGTTGTAATTAATCGTTTCAATCTAATAAAGCAGATACTTTATTGTAAGCAGTTTTCATCCTACCTGCTTTCTGTGTGATCAGTATGTTGCTGATTACAGGTTGAGACCTTTTCATGACAGGTCATGGCAGGTCAGAACGCGGATCAGAGAGGTGCGCCCTTCGTTTCCTTTAACCAGATTTATCGATCACATTTTGAGCAACATTTTGAGAAACTTTGATGTATTCACTGGTTTCACTTAAAAAAAAAAAAAAAAAAAAAAAAACATTTAGGTGGAGATCAGATAACAGCAGTCATTCTTGGCCTTTAAAAAACTTCAGTTGCCTTTGAAAGGAGATTCTTCTGGTCAGCCCGGGGCGATGTCATTTAAGGGGGGAGGAATTACCTCATCCCAAAATTCCTCTCTTTTTCTCTCGTTTTATTTTAATCCTCAACCTGTAAAACTTTTTTTTTGTTTTTTTTTTTTGTTTTACCTTTTATTATGCTGAGACTGGTTTAAAAATCCGCTTTACATTTTTATAATCCCATTCCTAGATCCGCACATTCCTTGGCATATATCTTCAAAACCATAATTTTACTTCAGTCTTGGACTTCGTTTCACACTTTCAAAAAAATATTTTATTCCATAAGCCAAGGAAAAACAAAACAAAACAAAAGAAGAACAAAAAAAAAACATTTGCAAGATTCCGTGGATGAGTGAGATTTGATTTGTCCCACTCAGGTGTATCGGTTACACCGGCGCATGCGCACTGCACGATAATCAGGTGAAGTAAAACTCTATGGTTTTAGTCAGTCGCTGGGTCTCAGAGGCATTGCCGCAACTGGAGCTTTGCAGATGTCTGTGCTGGAGAGGATAGACTGGAGGGTGAGTTGATTCCTCCCCCTGCGTGCTTGTGTTTAGGTTTCTCTTACGACTGATTTCATTCAAACAAAACTTGTTTTGTGTATATTGCCCTTTTTCTGTTCAGACTGGATTCCTATTATTTTGTATGTTCCCTTTAGTCATTGGTTTGTAATCTTGTAGCGCTGTATGAGTTTCAGAAACTCTTATGGTTTAATAATAGTCAGAGTCATGCAGAGTCTGATTCGCTTGTATTAAAATGTTGATTTGGGGATAGATTCAATTTAATGTATTTGTATTATCAATTCATATTTAGGGTAAATCAGTTGCAACCATGTCTATAACCATGCTGTAAGTTAAACCGTAAAGAATATGTCCACATAATAATGGACTACGGTACAAATGTAATTGCTTGTTTGGTTTTTAAGTTAAAGCCTGTCCGTTTTCAGCTATTACCCACCTTTTCAAAATGTGTTTTTCATTTTGTTGCTAAGAGTTAAATCAATCCAATCACCTGGCAGGACAAGCTCATTGGCATGTGTGTTATTTTTTAATTGACCCGGGAACAGATCCAATTCATCTTTACACCTGACATCAAATGAGTCAGATATCACTGTCATCATTATGCCAAGCTGCACTTTTCAGATTGTTCAAAGCGTTATACAGTCCAGCCAAGCGTAACTAACTTCCCTCAGGAGGCCTGCTAAAGAGGATATTTAATCAACGTGCATTTTGCTTCTGCTTGGCATCACAACAAGCCAAGAAGCAACACGCTGAAAAAAAAAAAAAAAAAAAGAATAAAAGAGGATAATCCTCTGTCGCTCACGTCCAGTGGCTCCCATGCTCACTAGAATCACAGCTTGGGTGGATAGACGCCACAGACTCTTTCCCTAAAGGACAAAAGACTGTCCATTGTAGGCTTAGACGTCAAATTATATTAAATTAAGTAATACATCGCTCCCGACTAAAGGACAGTGAAGGACACTGATGTCAAACTGTCGAACGTAAAACTCAAGTAGTTTATCAATCATGCAAATTACTGTTTAATTTAAAAATGAGCTCTCCTCTAAGATGTAAATGAAGTTGTAAATGAAGCTCAACTAACAAAGACTTGTTAGTTGGGATTCTTTGAGTTTCGAATGTCTTCCGTTTCTTTTTTGAGACATAAATAATCTGCTAAACTTTGGGGTTTGTTGTGGTTTGAAACGACCACTTAACGACCACTGAGAAAAACCATAACATTAAAACCTCATTGACCCGTTTATAGAGTCGCCAGGCGTTCAAGCTGCTTGAGAGATAGAAAAAAAAAAGAAAAAAGAAAAAAAAAAATAAAACAGCATTTTCTGCGAGACAAAAAAAGAAGAAGAAAAAAAAGATATATTGGATCCTTTTCGGAATATGCAGTATAAAACCAGTAAGAGCAAAATTTTCTACCACGATCAGAGATAATAATGGTTGTGAGTTTTGGAAATTTAATTTGATGCTGGGATGCAGGAAGAGAAAGTGACTAGGTCTAAAAACCAATGATGTATCATTCTTTAAAAATAAACAAGTAAATTGTGTAAGTTGTAAATAATTATCAAAATGATCGCCATAATAATAATAATAATAATAATAATAATAATAATAATAATAATAATAATAATAATAATTGAAGACTATATGAAATCAAATAATTCAAAAATATTATTGGAAAAAATGTATCTCATATAGCTCATTGGCTTGAAAATAGGAATTTTTAACGAAAATAAATAAATAAATAAAAGGGCTTCGATTAATTTCTGTAACTCCCAAAAACCAAACAGGATTTAAATTCTCATTGTGTCGTTTCCGGGCAGTAATCATTCTAGACATTAAACTAAATACGCCATTTTTAAGTTTTATTGATAGGAAACATGTTCAGCTAGCGGTGAAATAAGCTGTTTTCTTTTAATGATAAGGGGATTTATTTCACAACACCGGACCCAGTTGGTTTACAGGGATTGTAATCTAGAACATCTGGTTGTCTTTTCAAAAACACAAGCCCTTCGGTTCAGGAACCCATTGGGTTTGAAGAGAAAACCAAAATCAGAGGAAACCTAATTAGTTTTGTGGTAAGAAGCTGTGCCCATCGCTGCACACAAAGAGTGATTTAAAAGTTTGTAGGGAGTGTTTCAATTTTTGACACCGACACACAGGACACAAGACGGCTGCACAGACGGACAGGTTTCTGATTGGACCATCCTCCCGCCAATCAGAGTTTTTTTTTTGTTCCACCCTGTCATCGGCATCCTTGGACAGGGTAACGCCCTCTCACAGTGGCTGTGCAGATATAACACAGAACTAATTTTTTTTCGGCCCAATAGGATTGAACATCTCTGTTTCGTCCAAAAGAGGGAGTCAAGTTTCTTATGCAGCAGTTTTCCCCACTTTCACAACACAACTCCAGAGCGTACTGACCGGAGAGAGAAAGGGGGGTGAGAAATATTGTTTGACGACTGCTTTCTCTCACAGTGGGTACGGAGACTCATAGGCTCATAGCCTGTCTGCTGTGGGAGCGTCAATCCGTGGGTCAGTTTGCCCTTGAGCCCTCACCTCACAACTTTGCTGTCTGATTGCTGCAGCAGAAGAGCAATCGGGTTCATGATCTCAAGGGAGCTCCCATTTTTTCCACACCTGGATTAACCCAAGGCGACGTTTTCTTTTTCTTCCTCTTCTTCTTGCTTTCTCGTTATTTTTTATTTTTGCAACGGAGAATCTCGGACAGAATGTTGTGGAAACTAGCTGACAACGTCAAATATGAAGAAGATTGCGAGGTGAGTTTTGGTAATATACCGTCGTTCAAAACGAACTTGGAGTGAAGAGAAGGAAAAGTTTGGTTTTCAACAACACGAATTATTGCGCGGGTTGGTGTTTGTTTCCTTGTGCGAATATAAAAAAAAAGAAAGAATGCATGAAAAGGTATGTAACATTAACAAAGTAGGACGTATGTTTGGACAGTAATGCTGGGCAAAACTTATCAAAAATAATGTACAACTTTGAAACTTTGATGCAGTTATCGACAATGAAAGTGAATAAAGCTTTAAGAATATAATAATAATAATAATAATAATAATAATAATAATAATAATAATAATAATAATATAAAATAAAATATTTTGTTTTATAGTTATTATGTTAAGTGATTTAAAATACACCTTTATTTAAATAGATAAAGACGAATCTTATTACCAGTCTTAATGTACACCCAAATGGTAATTATTTTTATTGGAAATCTTTCAAGAGATAAGGTATTTGACACCTATAATTTCCTTAAGCGATATATATCCCCACTTGCCCTGCAGTTGCCATCTCTCTCAGCTGTTTTGTCTCTTCCCTCTCAAAGGAAAGGCATGACGGCAACAGCAATGGGAACCCCCGGCTGCCTCACCTGCCAGCGGTCAGTCAGCACCTCTATAGCCCGTCTCCTTCTCTCTCACACTCGGCTGGTTCAGACTTCCAGCCCCCGTACTTTCCACCTCCGTACCAGCCCATCTCCTACCCCCAGTCCACCGACCCATACTCCCATCTCAGCGACCCGTTCAACATTAACTCCATACACCAGTCGCCTTCGTCGAACCAGCAGCAGCCGTCCTGGCCCGGCCGGCAAGGCCAGGACGGACTCGGGAGGAGCGGACTGGCGAGTCAAATCTTGGGCCTCGAGGGAGGCTCGTCCGGGGTGAGAAGAGAGGGGTTCCGGCGGCCGGAGCTGCTGCCCCCGCACAGCCTGGACTCTTCAGTTATTGGTGATAATATGGGAATTCATGACATGGGCCCTGGACTGGAAGACGTTCAGGTAAGAGCATTGTAACATGGAGTTACTTGACGGTATATTTTGGAGTTACTGAATTTGAGCGAAGCAGATTCTTAAGCCCATTTGGATTGTTAAAAACCTTGTGGATTAGTCTAAGAAATTTAAAAGTCACCGATTAATAATTTCTAAAATTTCAATTTGAGGTAATTTTCCATACTTTCGACATTTATAACAGTCCAGATTAAATATAATCTTCTTCACATTTTTTGACTCAAATTGTGATTGTGTGACAGAGTTAAACCCTGTCAAATTAATCTTAAGTTTACTCACTTATGTCGCATAAACAAAATATCCTTATCTACCTCTTTCTGTTTTTTTAATCAGCATGTAGATGACCACAGTATTATTATGCCAGATCAGACAGTCATCAAAAAAGGTAAGTTTTCCCAAATTCTTTAAAGTTAGAATTTAGAAAAAAAGAGAGAAAGAATGAAAAGAAAAAAAGAAAAAGAAAAAGAGTGCTCTTGTTTGAATTTGCTGCCTGGGGTACATTTGCCTTTGTAGTCTTTGTGCAGCCAATGCTGTAATTACTAACAGGAATGGGAAATTATACAACAAGAACTGTGTTTTTTCACTCTATATTCCAAAAAAATACCATGCTTCTGATGGCATGTCAGGGCACTGAGTGCACAGAAGGAGGCAGCTTTTTGTCTTTTATTTGCATTACTGCTCTGCACGATGATAATCCGCATGTAGCCACGAGATGCACTCATCTAAGCTTGACATGATCCTCCACCTATTCTGTTAGTGAAGGTGCTTGAATGGATTCATCAGTGGGAAAGGAGCTGATCCCTGCTTTCAAATTCGCCAGGCTGTAGCTGACATGACGGGAAAATTGAGCAATCTGGCAGCCGGGCAGTGTTGAGTAAGGAGCAGAGGAGGAAGGCTTTGAATCATCTTTCAAGCTGTTTATGGCAAATCTGTTCTGATCACCTTTTCAGGAATTTAGGAGTTGGTCTTGAATCTTGAGTTGTGTTTGGCTGTTTGCAGGACCAGCTTCTGGTTGGGTGTGGCGTTTGGGTTGCACATGAAAGACAGTTTGGTAATCCATTTGGGGCATGAATTGTGTTTTGTAATTTTTGCTGCTTTGACAACAGGGTCCAATAAAACTTTAGATAGATAGATAGATAGATAGATAGATAGATAGATAGATAGATAGATAGATAGATAGATACCACAATTACAAGCAGAAAGCTATTTATGCAGCAGAATCAAGCAGCCCATCTTCATGATTTTATGGAAATCAGGTTTGGGTCATTATGTTGTTCCTATGCTGAAGGCCACACTATCGGCAATCTAGGTTTTCCCACTTGTAAACAATGGCATGTCATTCCCAGGCATGTGCCCCAGAGGAGAAGTGAAACACCCATGTGACTCTGTGATTTCTGTCTCAGTATTAGGACTACGAGGTGGCAGGAACCTTGATCGCATACAGAGGACTTATTATCAGGGGGGCTTTCTTGCTGGTGAGGATGAAGATAGCTGTATTTTGTATTGTAGTGTGCTGTACTTTTTTTTTTTTTGTTTGTCTGCAGACTGTCAGTCCTTTTGTGTTTGATTAAAATAAATCTATATTGAATGTGATCAAAAACAAAGTTGTAAATACTTTTAGAAGAGAGCAGGTCCTTTACAAAGTAAGGGTTTAAATGAGGTTCAGCTTGTTTGTGGATACCTGTTTGTGGATGGTGTTTAAAACGAGGGCTAACCTTCAGGCATCCAGTGTTTCACGAACCACACAATATTTCGAAAGGTTCAAGAAGATGTTTCTTGTAAACACTCATTCACCAAAGACTGGTTTCCTCGGAGCTGCCTAATCATACATACACACAGTCACACACGCACAGCTTCTTGTGATTACATGCAAAAAAACAGACATTCAAGGAAGGATTTAGAGCTTATGTACGTACACTGGAAAAGGGCATATGCAAACAATCACTGTTGCCCAACCACAATTCTTTTATTTTGTGTTCATAATGTAGGTTTTCCCCTTTCTCTCCAGGCCCTGTCACACTACCGAAAGGCAACACGCTGGGCCTTCCCTTCCAGAAAGAGTCACTGCTGGGCATGGTATCAAACCCCACAGAGGTGTTCTGCTCCGTACCGGGCCGCCTTTCCTTGTTGAGCTCCACGTCCAAGTACAAAGTTACTGTGGCTGAAGTCCAGAGGCGTTTGTCACCCCCGGAGTGCCTGAACGCATCACTCCTGGGAGGAGTTTTACGCAGGTCGGGGCTTAAATTCATTCATCATGACAGCTTGACTGGATTGAATATAACATTTTTTTTCCTTCTTGACCTGATTTTACTTTCGACCTTATATGTTATATGTCTTCTATCTGTAAGTCATTATAAAAACCTTAGATATAAATCTTAATAACACAATAGAGCATTAACCATAGCTCAAAGCTCAGTGGCTCATGGAAAATACTTTGTTTTTTAAAGTTCATCTTGGCTTGTGGTCTTTTTGTGTATTTTACAAGGCATTCTTTGTTCTGACATGCTAATCTGAAAAGTGTTTGATTTATGTTTGCTGATGTTTGCATAATATATAGTTTTATCTGTGCTATAGCAGTTGCTCTTTTGTTACATATGTTGTAGTGACAGTCTGTTGAAGAATTGGGGGTGGGGGTTACCATTTGTGCTTAACACCCCTGATCAGAGCAATTTTTTTTGTCAAAGTGCATGTTTGCCACTTCCCATGTGCCTTTGTTAATGCTGACATACACAGCGCTTTTTATGTAGGTCAAATACTTAAGGGAGGGGGTTTGTAAGTACAGAAGGGTGGGGAGTGCGTTGAGACGATGGGGGAGCCGGGAGGATTTAGTCGCACATGCCTCTCCAAAGATCTCTCACCCACAATATAGAGGGAGAGATGCCGGCCTGACCATGCAGAAAACTGACTCTGCCATGGCAAGTTAAGAGTATGAGAGCCTCTACAAATGCGTGTTTGAGTGATGGATCTGTTTTGTTTTTCTTTAAGGTTAGGAGAAGCACTTTATATTTTAGAATATTAAACATGGCGTGAGACCTTCTTTTCTATAATATTCCTACATTACTAAAATTTCACACACTAGTTATTTTCTTTTAATGCACATGTCCAATTTTCTTAAATAATAATCACCAAAACTCATAAAATAATAGAAAATACTATCAAATAGTATTGGTGAGATTTTATTTATTTTTTTCTTAAAATGAAATAATGTGCATTTAAAATCTGTTGGTGCTTTCAAGGATTTGGACTCAATTCGTTTTTATGTCATCCCGCAGAGCCAAGTCAAAAAATGGAGGTCGTTCTCTGCGAGAGAAACTGGATAAAATTGGACTTAATTTGCCTGCTGGAAGAAGGAAGGCGGCCAATGTCACTCTACTTACCTCACTTGTAGAAGGTATGACGCATCACTCAGTACCATATCACACCTTTCTGACTTCTACTGCATCTTACGCCTGCTGGAATGCTGCTCAAACAGCGTGGGAATGTGCGAGTGTCATTCTCCGCAGCGTAGTGTGTTTTTATTAGAGCGCGATCATAAAACAATTCCGGCCGCCTGTCAAACAGCTTTGTTCTTGAGAAAGGTGTTGAAGTAGCTAGCAGTATGTATGCATTAGGTGACTTTTTACATGGATGATTAGCCTCTCCAGTTGGTCAAAATAGGAATAGAAGAAAAGCTGTGCCAATGGCATTTTTTTTACTTTTGTCTTGAGCCGTTAAAAACATGTCCATGAGGCATTCAGGCTCTATTCTCTAAGCTGTTCTTCTATAAACAGCGATCTGGGTCCACCAAAAAGAAATGGACTGACAGACAACTTCTAACAAGCAAACGTCTCTCAGAAATAAATCCTTCTCTGTTTAGTGTTGGAAGAGTAAAATGTATTTTTATATTTGTTTGTTACTGCTTAGTAAAATATACTTATTTTGTTTTCATAATCCCAAACAAGACATCGCAAGTCTTTAATTACATACTCTGATTATTATTTAGTATTTTTTTAATGCAAACCAGGTTATATTGGTGTAGTACTATTTTATGGTATGAGCTAAAGGCAAGATAAAAATTTGTCACCTTGTACATGCCAGATGTATCTTGATACGGTTAGACTTACATATGATCACAGTATCACTTTCAAAACGCCTACCTGCCGCTGGCTGAAGCAGGATATATTTTTTTTTCCCTCCCTAGATTCCCATTCATTTTTATAAATAGGCTAATGATTCTGTGCAGGAGAATGACTGGAGGCCTGTTTTATTTCGAGACCTTCAAAGCTGAATTAAGCGTTGTTATGTTGTGTTCAGCTCCCCAGGAGGGCCAGCTGACCTTAAAGCTTGTGCTTCTGAACATCTGCCTGAATCCTGTTAGTTATGTGCAAGACTACCAAAAAAGCATAGCCTGAGGTGCTTTATGCCCTCAGTATTACCATTTATCCACATAAGCCCGTTATGACAGTGCAAATCAAAGCAACCTCAAGATGGAAATAAATTCCTTCCACTGGCTTTGTTTTCCACAGACAAGAGGTCTTAACACTGGCGATCATTCTCCAGGTTAACAGATTCTGTTTAGATGGCTTTCTTTCCAACAGGTTGAAATGTAGAGGTTGAATAGATAAATTATAGATCTTGATGCATTTACAAGTCACATTTCAAATTTTTTATATTATCATACAGTGTGAGATAGTAATATAAAAACAACACCAATTTAGTCGTAAAAAGATAACATAAAAAAAAAAAAAATCCACATTTGGATGTAGGTCCCAACTCATCAGTCATGAAAGAATAAAAGTGCTTATTTCATTTTTATTTCACATTTGAAATGATTCGCATGCAATGCATTTTTTTTCTTCAAAGTGGTCAAAAAGAACTAATTGCACATTTAAGGTTTCTTCTCTACACGTCATAGGTCTTGTTTCATTTATTTTTCAACAAGTAAACAAAAGCAGAAAAATAATAATGTCAAAAATAAGCACTGATGTAACATTTAGATTAGTTTGGGTAAAGTGTTTAAAAATATATATTTTTTACAATTTTTTTTCACTCTTAGTTCAGTGTGGAAAACACTCATCTTTACAATATGTTTGTAAATATATTACAGGGTAACGCATATTTGCTGTTCACTGGGGCAGGGGGTACAAATATGAAATAAGCATATTTCCATTTCTCTTTGCCAGCAGTTGTATGTTTGTTATTTAAAATAAGGAAAATAAAAACAACAGCCTGACCCAGTTTAAACTGCTGCTCATACATTTTGATCAAAGACAAGAAAATGTTATTAAATTTAATATTTCACATTTTCATTACTTGTGTCTTATGAGTAAAGCCTTTCAACTTAACATTCACAGACTAAGGAAAAAGGTGCAATTCAGTAATATTTGGAAGTCTGTCGTTTTTGCATATAGACTCTGTCCTCTTTGAGCATAGCTTCTAAAATAACTTAAATAGGTGTAAAAAGCACATGACTCATGCCACCAAAGTGCATGTTAATTATGTTGAGCTCAGACCAGCAGAGCCACTGTTGTCACTTCCACCGGGTTTAGAATTCGACACCCTAATTACTGCAGTTGTTTTGGAAGGAATGAGTGTAGCAGTTTGAGGGAATTGTTTTCTTTTCATCCAACTCTTTAAACAACATTATGAACTTTTCCCTTTGTGTGCAAGAATATGGTGTGATTTCAGAGTAGTTTTTGGGGAGTTGTCTGGAAGAAGAAATGTCTTGTGTCTGGTGGTTTGACCTAACAACTGATTTTTCATTTTTGTTTCTACAGGTGAAGCTGTTCATTTAGCAAGAGACTTTGGTTATGTATGCGAGACTGAGTTTCCTGCAAAGGCAATAGCTGAATATTTGGGCAGGCCCCATGTGGAGCGCAACGAGGTCAACTCTCGCAAGAACATGCTCCTCGCTGCTAAGTCAGTATTTCTAATTTGTGGTTTGCATCTTATTTGCACGCATTTATTCACTTGTAGCATTCAGGTTGCAACTTGTCGTTTTTTTTTTTGTTTTTTTTTTAGTTTTTCAAAGCCTGTTTTCGCTCTGTTATTTTGGCAGTAGAGCAGCAACCTTACTGAAACACCCACTGTGTTATCTATTGGGTTGGCTTTCAGGCCAAGTATATTATTGCATCCATCCTGACTTTGGTTTCTCTCCCCTCAGGCAAATCTGCAAAGAATTTACTGACCTGCTCACACAGGACCGGTCACCGTTAGGAAACTCAAGGCCGGCGCCCATCTTGGAGCCTGGAATCCAGGGCTGCCTGACTCATTTCAGCCTCATCACTCATGGATTTGGTTCTCCAGCCATCTGCGCTGCAATGACCTCCCTCCAGAACTACCTAAATGAGGCGCTCAAACAAGTGGACAAGATGTACTTGAGTTCTGGCAGTGAAACCCAGGGATCCTCGGAGAGCGGGAGCAAGTCCACTGACAAAATGGACAAGCACAGGAAATGAGAGCTCAAAAGAAGAAAACCTGAATTTCACAATCACAGAATACACTCATTCTTGCTGCCCTCTCCCTGTTTTGGACTTTTTGAAACTTATCTTTAGTATTACCATTTTGAGAGCTTATTTTGTATGTGGGTGTGTATGTGTGCTTCCGATGTAAATGTATATTTCTACAAAACTTTGGATTTGTCACAGATGGCTACATGTCAGTAAGTGCTGAATCCAAATAGGGAATTCTGTGGACTCGGCTTTTTTGGGAGCTGCTTCTGTGACGGTTAAACATACCATCAAATAATAACTATGCAGTTCCATAAAATTCCAACTCAACTACAGTTTTTTTAAAGGGGGGTGGGAACAAGTGCATTCAGTTTTTTGTTTTTTTTCTCTAGTGGACATCATTTCAAGATGCGTTGCAATGGCTGTGAATTCCACTCAGCACCTCTCTCCCTGCCCTCCCCCTTCAGTCTGGAGGCAAATCCACTGATTTCCTGTGTCTCAATGGACCTGCAAAGGACAATTTTTAAGTGTGTGTGTGTGTGTGCGCTTGGGTGTGTGTGTGTGTGTTTATGTGTGAGAGAAAGAAAGAAAGAGACATAGCGAAAGAGTGATGCAAAACTGTTGTCTTTCTTTCTTTTTTTTTTTTCTTCTTATTTTGTACACCCAGTTCTGACTCCAGTGTTATGCTTTTCTTAATGGGAGACAATTTGAGTCTGGCAATAATTTTTCAGTCAGTGCTCACTCACAAACCAGAGACTTTAAAGATGCTGCAAAAGGCACCTTGCAAGTGTTTGTGTGGATGACAATCATTCCCACAATTCTGTTCTCCAACATTCGTGTTTGAAAGCATGAGGTAACATCAGCCAAACATCAATCTTACTATGAATGCGTGTTGTAAGAATGTGTGTACTTGTACATAGTTCTTTCTTTTAAAATGTTTTTAACTAGACATTAAATTCAAAATGTCAAAACATAGAATTTTATTCAATTTGTTGTCCTGGAATGTAAATATATATTTTTTAATTTATGTTGTAATTTAATGGGTTTGTGTAAATAATAGCATCATTGAGGTATATGGTCTAACTTTTTACAGGATGTGTTAGAAACTTTCTAAAATGGGTTAGATTTTTTTCTCAAGTAGAAGTTAGGAAATGGGCATGATTTGCCTTTTTTTGTTAAAGATGTAAAAAAAAAAATGTTTCAAAGTTCCAGGATCAAATACAAATAAAAAAAAAATGAAAGCCTGAAGCCAGATCCGGTGTGCAAGTGATGTTGCCCAGATCACAGAAACACACATTTCCTTTTTTATGGCCTAGTTTTTCAGCAATAGTTCACAGAAAATAGTTAAGTCATGTGTTGGAAGATTTCCCTGTAGATAAACAGCCAAAGAAAATTCCCCCTACTAAACTAATGCGAACAGTAGTCATCATTATTTGCTCTCAGTTAGCTTCACAAATAGGCTGTGTAGCTCATTGAAGGCGTCGACCTCAACAGCGCATCATGTGAGGGACAAAAATGTGTTGTGGAGAGCAGGCAAATGACTTGTTTATTTTTGAACTAAGAAAATGGTTGATGATGATTTTATCTGGAATATTCTTGGTTTCTTGTTGCTCAGGTAGATTGGCTCCCATGTTAATCTGGATTTCAAAAGTTACTTCTGAAGAACGGCCCTCATTCTTAACAACTTTAATTTATCTCAGTGAATTAAAGTATATTGGCATGAATTTTATAAAGACAAAAAGCATAAACAATGACAAACAGGTTCATCTCAATACATTAGAATGTTGGCAAGTTTTTTTATTTCAGTAATTCAGTTCAAAAACAGAATTTAGTATATTTTGCAGCTTCAATAAACAGACTAAAACTGGATAAACTGAAACTGAAAACAGACTAAAATACTCAAAGTTTCTATTTTATGTTATTTTTTTATAATTACAAAACACACCAAATGAAACCTCAAGTTCTCCTTCTGAAAAATATTTTTACACAGCATTCTGTTTAAAAACAGAATGCCATTCTAGTGAAAAGTGTGTCCATGTAGCGTGCATGGTCAAGTCAAAACAAATTTGTCTTTAGTAGTTGCTTATGCCTATTGCTTGTCTACCTTTTTTTTCCTTTTCACTAAACTTCCCATTAATAAATGTGGATGCATAACATATTACTGGATCATGACATAACATTTGTGCAATAAAACTAATTATTTAATTGGTATTATTCAAAGGCAAATATGTAAATGTCTGAAACAAAAATTTGTGCCAAGTTGGAGGCCATAATTATCCAAATTATCAGAATAAAATCCTTGAAATAAAACTCACTCAGCACAATAAATCTTTATAACTTAACTTTTTGAAATGAGTTACTGAAATAAACAACTCATTCCAATGATATTGTAATTGTAGAAATGCGCAGTCTCAATAATCACATCAGCTGCAACTTAACTGGTTACACTGCAGAAGTTCATTCTTTGTGTCAGAAAGTAATCTATGTCACACGTTGCTTTTTATGCAAAAATTTAAACTAAGGCAATATAAAAATATCTGATACTTCAGCCAGATGTTGCAAAAAGGTTTGCAATGTTGAAGGTTTTCCTGAGCTACAGTTTTAAGATACAGCAAACATGTTGTCAAGCTAATGTGGCGCCTCTCCTTTTCTACTCCGTTGTTGTTTCAGTGTACTGCTACAAGTTTCCCCATACTGTTGGGAGCACCTTTGATGTCTGTGAGAGACAGATGAAAAACTGTTGACAAGCTAGCATAGGAAACAAGGTTGCTTAATCATCACTTACCCAGCCAGTCCACATTGAATCATATTGTCTGTCTCCATGTGTATCAGGAGGAGTTTGATAAATATCAGTGACAGACGCAAAGTGGAGAAATTACACAGACTTCTAAAATTGACTTTAGTAGGTGCCGCACCAAAGAAAAGTTGAAACCCTAAGACAGAATGCATGTGATCTGTTAATGTGTTTATTTCTACTCTATTAATGATACCAATGCAGCATTGACAGAAGGAACGCATTTTGAACTTCATTTAGAGAGCTATTTTCAAATTACATTACTTTTATTTTTGCAGTGTCATGATTTTAATCAACATTTCTCAGAAGTACGGCCATGGAGGTCAGTAGGAGAAACCAATTTTTGACAAAAAACAACAACAACAAAAAAATGTTACACGGTAAAGAAGCAGCAGCAGTTGCAGTTTGCTGCAGATCCCTTGCAGTAAGACAAGTATCAGCCTCTCCCCTCAGAAACCAGTCTAACCAGACCTGTCAACCTGAACCCAGTGGCTCAAAGCCCTCACAGCAGTTGACTTTAACTGCCTTCAGTTATTCATGTTATGCCGTATGCATGGGCCTGAAAGAGTAGATAATTGCAGGGGGAGCAGATGATGGTGCAAGCTATAGGCGGAGGAAGAAAAAAAGCAGGACTGAGTGTCTCCTATGAATGTCTGAACACAAGTTGAGTTAACACTTTCCCAAGTCGAAATGTCTGATTGAACAGACAGAACTGATTGTTCGCCTTCTTATTAGTTGTCTTTCAGTCTGTCACTCAGTCACGTAAGAGAGTTTTTGTTTTGGAAGACACACAAATTCCATTCACTTTCATCGTCTATTGTCTGCAAAGACAATCTTCTATCGGCAAGTTTGAAGGGCTAAAGCTGGCTAGAACTGCCAAAGGAGCAGCCAAGATACACAGTTAAAACCTGTGATCTTAGGAAGACTGCCACCAAGTGAGAAGAGAAAACACAAGCTGCAAGTACACCTGTTTTCCATGTGTCGTCCTTTGTCATGTGATTTCTAAAACTTTGGCAACATGAAAACTGGTCAAACACTCTAAACTGTGAGCAAGGGTGAGCAATTCCCATATGACACACCTAAGGTAGCTGGGAACTAGAGACAAGCGTGAGCTTGTTGATCTCATTCACCACTTCTTCTGCTAAGAACAAAGAGAGGGACTCAGAAACCTCCTTAATTGGAGATATAACTGACATGCTAATGTAATCTTTACATTTCATTTTGAAGGCCTTGGGCTACTTGTCATCTCCAGCTTCACTGAACTGTAGCTGTAGTTCAAGTCAGCTCTGACTGCATGACCTTTTAATGTAGGTCGTGGCAAGTCACATGATGAAGCTCAAAGGACAGAAGAAAAAATGTGCCAAAATGGGAATAACTTGATGTCATGTCTAATTTTTTTCAGTTTTACCACATGATCTTGTGTTTCATTAAACATTTTTCATTGTGTTTTCAATCATCTCCAAATAGGGAGACACGTAGAAAGAATTCTGTGTCAGTGCCCTTGTCCTCTTTCTTTTTGTAATAAATTTCAAAAGATTTAGCCCAAACATTCCCAGATACTTTGCTGTTAACTTTTACCCTTCTCCGTTTAGTCAACCACTTCCTCTCAAGAAATGTGTTTGAAATCTGTTGTGCATTAAGGCTCGTTTGCAGTCAGACTAATCGCTCGCTTGCAGTTCCCAACCACCGAAACCACTTTATGAGTTAAACTATGGTCCTAACATCCCGAGTCATAAACGGCAAGTCAGAAAGATGACGGTAGTAGATTCTTATCTGTCAGTCACCAGTGGTTTTAAGCTCGCTCCTGGTTCTGTGAAGATGGGAAGCGGATGGTGATTTCATGAGAAAATGGCTGTTTGTATCTCTTTGTAGATGTATAAACAATAGATATCTCTTACTTGCATCACAAAATATGATTAAAGAGATCCCAACAAATTTACTAGTGAAGACAGGGTTTGGAATTTAATGCATTTTGGTCAGTAATGGAAAGAGCTGTAACTGCCAAGTTAAAAATATTTGAGCTGTTAAAACTAATCATATATGTTTAAATTCAAATTTGTGCAATTAGGGGAAACATCATTACTTTTTATAATTTATATAATGAATTTTAGGTAAAAACATCCATCCATGCATCCTTCTATTACCTGCTTTTCTTTGTAGGGTCGCTGGGCGGGTTGCGAGTCCATCAAGGGGCAGCACACACTCACTCATAGCTAAAAACAACACAGAAAAAAACAATTGCACAGAAATGCTTTTGGATTGTGGGAGGAAGTCAGAGT